AAGACGTTAATAAAATCGTCACTGGTGACGAATCGTGGATATATGCCTATGAGCCCGAAACGAAACAGCAGTCGACTGTATGGGTCTTCCAAAATAAAGATAACCCAACGAAAGTTGTTCGAGCAAGAAGCACTTCGAAGCGAATGGTCGCCTGTTTTTTCGGGAGAAGTGGTCATGTGGCAACCGTTCCACTAGAGGATCGTAAGACCGTCAATTCTGATTGGTATACCACCATTTGTTTGCCCGAAGTGTTTGGTGAAATAAGAAAAAACAACCACCGTCGCAAAATAATTCTTCATCACGATAATGCGAGCTCTCACACATCTTTTCAAACTACTCGATTTTTGACCGGTCAAAACATCGAACTGATGGGTCATCCACCGTACAGTCCTGACCTGGCACCCAATGACTTTTTTTTGTTCCCAAGCGTGAAGAAAAAACTACGTGGTCAACGATTTTCGACACCAGAAGAAGCAGTTGAAGCGTTCAAAACACACGTTTTGGAGATATCACTTTCGGAGTGGCACGAATGCTATGACAAATGGTTTCATCGAATGCAAAAGTGTATCGATCATCTCGGGGAATATTTTGAAAAACAATAAAACCATTTTCGACAAAAAACAACTGTGTTATATATGTTTTTAAAAAAAATTATGGAGCAACCCTCGTATCTGTATCTGTATCTTTTAATCGATTTGTATTTTTCAATGCCAATGCTGTTTTTTGTTGTTGCCAGAATGTCACTGCGAAAACGAGATGCGACCAAAAGATGCAATTCGGTGCCGTGAATGTGGTTATCGGATCATGTACAAAAAACGTACAAAGCGATGTAAGTATATGCAGGAATAGTTGAGGACAAATACTTTATTCCTTTTTTAAATGCAGAAACATAACTTTTTTTGTATATATACGGTTTAATGTTTTTTTTTCAGTGATTGTGTTCGACGCCCGCTAATCAAAACACAAATGGATGGATTAATGTAATTTCTCTTACTAGACTTAAAATGCAATCGGATCAATAAAGTTTGAAATTACAAATTGAACGTTTTTTTTGTTACATTTTGTTTGGTTTTTTGTCAAGTTCAAGGTTGAAATATAAATGCAAATACAGATGTAATAGCAGATGTAAATAGTCTTTTATACGAAACTGTGAAAATAATTCGACTAATAAAATGTAGCTGTTTCGGTAGAATCCACTGATAATGACAAGCATGCTTATGCATATATGCCGCTTTGTCATAGACGTCTTTCATAATATATGATAACGTTATATATGATGAGTTTCGACAGAAACGGAACTAACATCAAATCGTACAGAATTTTACTTTTCCGCACACATAGTGTAAGGTGAAAAGTATTGTAATCGGTCAAAATTTTGAAAACTTCAGAAACATGTTTTCTGGACGTTTCTGAGGTCAGAGAACCCGAATCAGGCCGTTTTGAGCATGGTTTATGTTAATCTGTACGTCGTACGTTGTACGTCGTACGCAAAATTTGTTAGCAAGATTGCGCTCATCGTAGAAACTTAATTCAAAATCTGACTTTACAGGATGATTGGGGGTCCCGAGGAATAGAAATCATTAGCTTTTGAGCGACTTTGGTTGATGGAAAAAAATGTCATGCCTGTAGTGATACCTATGAAAAAGAGTCCAATTTTCGCGAATTTTCGTCCAGAAGTCATACTTAATGTGGACTTAAACACTCAAAAATATGTATTGGGGGGTTTTTTGGCACGAGAAAACCGAAATCGACGTTAGTTTTGAGATACAATCAATTTTTGATACAGTTTCCTTAAAAAAATCACAAAAAAATTGAATTTTTGTATGGAAGCCATGCCTGTATGCTACCTTAATTACGTGAAACTTTGCACAGTCTATTTTTTACACAAAAAAATAACATTCCAAAAGTTTGAAGATATTTCAATTAAAATTAGGGGTACCTCCCATACAAAATTTCCAATTATTGGCTCAAAAACGAATATTTTGTATGGGAGGTACTCTTAATTTTGGTTGAAATTTCTCCAAACCCTCCGAATGTTATTTTTTTGTGAAAAAAATAACCTGTACAAAGTTTTACGCCATTAAGGTAGAATACAGTCATGGCTCCCATACAAAAATCCAAATTTTTTGTGACTTTTGTTATGAAAAGTGTTTCAAAAATAATTTTTATGGCAAAATTAACGTCAGACATGTTTTTTATAGTGTTTTATAAGAAAATAGAATACTTTCAAATGTCGTACAAATGGGTTCAACATGAAAGTGTGAAAAATCTTTTGCGAGTACTTCTGCTATTAAATTAAAAACCTTTACGCCGCTTGAATGGTTTGAAAAATCGAACAAATGTTATTTTGAACTTTCTTAATAAAATACGCAACTACCACCGTGCGGAAAAGTTCGTCTTACTCCCGTAAGACTCTTTATTTTAATACTCGCATTCAATTTGATGCGCGGAACATTTGTGTGAAGCAGACGTTTAGATTTTGTTCAATATTTTTCAAGTCACAGATTTTCGGTAAATTATTTGGTGAAAGCTTAATTCCAACGTTGTTAAACTTCAATATAAGCAAATTAGTTTGGTGTTGGCGGGAATTTGAAAGTAAAAACCGGTTGAGGCGTATTATAATCCCCATTTCTCCAGAATAAGAGTGTTGTTGCAACCAATGTCGGCGGTCATGTCAAGCACATCCTTCAATTACGCGATCAATGGCATTTCATCAACGCGTGAAAATTTATATTTGAACGAGAAGTTTTCCGATTTTAACTTTATTTGCAAATCAGCCGATGGATTGGATGAAATTATTCCGGTTCACAAATCCTTTTTGGCGAGCGTAAGCGATGTGTTCGATGTGATGTTCAGTGATACATGGAAAGGGAATGTGGCCGTTGTGATTCCTGATGCAACATCCGCTGAATTCAAGGAATTTTTACAATTCTTTTACTTAAGACGTGCAACATTAACAACGGACAACATCGAAAGAGTCATGTATCTCGGAGACAAATACAATGTGTCAGAATGTATGAATGCGTGTGTAAAATTTCTTCATCGAATTCTTACCGAAGACAATATTTGTTGGGGCTACAGTCTTGCCATTCTCTACAATCAAAATGATTTGAAACGATTCTGTGAACTGATAATCGCCAGCAAAACAAGAGCAGTTTTTTCATCGGTCAGTTTTCTGGAATGCAACGAAGAAGCACTTGGTCACATTTTAAAAATTGACCCATTGTCTTGTTCTGAAGTGGAAGTATTTGAAACATGTATGGAATGGGTAAAAAGGACTAGTGGGGCGGCCGAACTGACAAGAGAAATCATTCAAACGTATCTTGGTGATTTGATTTACGAAATTCGCTTCAAATCGATGACACTACAACAATTTGCAACTCTCATTCCATCGTATGGCGGTTTATTCTCAGCAGATGATTACAGAGAAATTATTCTATTGATTTCGAAATCATATTCTTTTGAACGATCCAGATTCAGCCAAAATTACCGAATTCCATTTGAAAGTCTTCAGTTTTGTGAAATGGGAAGGATCGAATGTGACCGCTCATTTCCAAACGAGTTTTCACGTATTCCTTATTACCTCCAAAGCATCGAAAAGACCACATTCACCGTCAACCAACCGATGTTGTTGCACCTAATCGTGTGCAGCCAAATAGCCGAATATAGAAACAATGACTACTATCCTATAGATAGTCTATCAGCTAAAATGAAAATTGTTGAAATCACTCAATATTCTCCATACAATGGGAAAATTGTTTTTTATACTGAAGATATTCGTCTGCAATCTTTGAATACATCGAAAATAAAATTGCCCACGCCAATCCTAATCAGACCCGGAATTACGTATGAAATTCAAATGGAACAAACACCATCACCGAATTGCTGCACTGGCACTATGCTGAAGACTGAGGTTCAAATGGAATCGGACTTTACTGCACAGTTTTATGGCGATTCGATCGTTGGCATTGATGGCGTTGCAAGAGGATTGATTCGATATCTTGAATTCTATCGAATTTAAATATATTTTTAAAATGATCGAAGATAAGATTTTTTTAAATCACAAAATTATTATTTAAATGTCACTTGATTGTAATTTCATTTGCTAATCTGTAGAAATTTCATTCAATTGATTGTAGCTGTCAAAAATTTTCGGAGAATTTATTTGTTATTGTTTAATACAAATATACACAATACACAATATTGTGTGTAGCCGGCATTCAATCGTTTTAGTATAAAAACATCAAATACTCACACAGTATGAAAATATATTTAGTATTAGTGGACGATTACACGGACACAGTATAAACAATAAACTAGATTTTTTGCGATTTATACTTTGTTTATATCAAAACGACATACATAGAATATATACAGGGTGTCTCATATAAATGGGCCACTACTGAGGGCATAAATTCCGATTTTTTCTTCTGTTGGTATAATTTTTAAAAATCTGCTCCGATTTAGGAAATAAATTTCTACGAATTTCTATCGGAGTAGATTTTTGAAAACTATACCAACAAAAGAGAAAAATGAAATTTATACCCTCAGTAGAGGTTCACTTATATGAGACACCCTGTATATTGATTCTATTCGAATGATAACGATCCTTCGGACGAAAAATCTTTTTTGGCAAGCGTAAGCGATGTCGAATTTAAGAAATGCACAACATTCACTTTGGATCCACTTTGAATGATAAAAATTAAACGAAAACCATCTTGGTCGATTGTTGAGCGCTTTTTTCTACTTTGGATTGAACGAAATAACATCTTATATTTACATTTTTCCGCCCATATTTTGATTACACGTTCGTGGCGTGTGATAGATTAGAGGAACAAAGTAAGAATATTAATCAAGTCCTAAAACTTTCGGACGATTCATTTGTTGTTATCAATTGGACGATTACATAGGCTCAGTATAAACAATACACTGAGATTTCTATTAGACACTGTCTAGTAGTATGACATACTAATACGACTTACATTGATCATTGTATTTGATACATTCGGATGAAAAATCCACAGTTACATGAGCCGATTTTATGAAGCAGTCGTTCTTTTTTTGTTTTCTTCAACATTTTTTACATCAGGTTTGTTTGTATTTTTATTAAATTATTAAGTGAGCATTTACAATTACAAATCTCAGCGTCTGATGTTAACAGAATTGTTGTTTTTTGAATTTTGGAATAAAGAATTTTGATATGTCCTATTCTCCAAAAAAGGAGTGTGAATATTCATTAATTTTTCTCTAATTTCAGAAAAATAGTGTTTTTGAAAACCATTTTCATCAGTCATGTCAAGCATATCGAACGATTACGCGACCAATGGCATTTTATCAATTGGTAAAACATTATATTTGAACGAGAAGTTTTCCGATCTTCGCTTTATTTTCAACTCATCCGATAGATGTGATGAAATTATTCCGGTTCACAAATCCTTTTTGGCAGCCGTAAGCAATAAGTTTGATAATTTGTTCAGTGATTCTTGGAAAGGGAAAGTGGACGTTGTGATTCCTGACGCAACAGCCGCTGAATTCAGGGAATTTTTACAATTCTTTTACTTGGAACGGGCAACATTAACAATGGACAACATTAAAAAAGTCATGTGCTTCGGAAAGGAATACAATGTGCCAGAATGTATGAATGCGTGTGTAAAATTTCTGCAACGAAATCTGACCGAAGACAATATTTGTTGGGGCTACGATCTTGCCATTTCTTATGATCAAATTGCTTTGCAACGATTTTGCAAAATAGTGATCGCGATCAATACAGAAAAGGTTTTTTCATCGGCCAGTTTTCTCACATGCAAAAAAGAGACGCTTGGCAATATTTTGGAAATGGAATCGTTGTCTTGTTCCGAAGCGGAAGTGTTTAAGGCATGCATGAGATGGGTAAAAAGATAGGGGCAATTCACTTAAAAATTGCCTTTCTATTATTTAATAATTGTTATTGATTCTTTTTCGATTATTTGTCGATTATTTTAAATTAATTCTATTCTTTTCTTTTATGATTCTCCCCTAGGTAAAAAATGTCAGTAAAAATAAATTGACAAGAGAAATCATTCAAGTTCACCTCGGTGAATTATTTTTCAAAATTCGCTTCAACTCGATGACATTACATCAGTTTGCCGATCTCATTCGAAACAATATGTACGGTGGCTTATTTTTAGCAGATGAATACAGAGAAATTGTTCAATCGATTGCGAAACAATATAATTTTAATCCAACCATTTTCAACCAAAATCATAGAATTCCGTTTGAAAATCTGCCTTTTTCGGAAATGATCAAATGCGATCGCTTATTGTCACTCGATTATGCACGGACTCCGTATTACATCAAAAGTGTTGAAAAGACCCAATTTTCCATCAATCATCCGATGCTGTTGAAACAGATTGAATGCAGCATAATAAGCATTTATGCATCGAATCAATACTATCCTGTTGAGGATCTGCAAACTGAATTGGAAATCATTCAAGTTTCTGTAGCGGCTCCTGATGGCGACAAAGTCGTTCTTCATCGTGGAAATTATCATCTGACTAATTTTTGTGCAAGAAATATAACTTTGACGAAGCCGATCCTTGTGAGACCGGGTTTTTTGTATGAAATTCAGCTGAAACAAAGTCCACCACCAAATTGTAGCACTGGTGACATCCTGAAGTTGAAAGTTCAACTCGATTCGAACATTAACGTACAGTTTCATCATGATTCATACATGAAAATTGATAAAGTTGCAAGAGGAGTCGTTCGAAAACTTGGGTTCCATCGTATTTAAAACTGATAACGAGCTATCTTCAAAACAAAATAAAGTCCGAAAATGGGGATACAAACAATTTCAATATTCCGTCATTATCTAAATCAGTCGACCAATTCGACAATTCAAATAGTTGCATTAATCTCTGCGATTTCCAAATAGATTAGAATATAAGTGAACAAGTCAAAAATGTTTAATGAGAGCAATTATGCGGGTCTATTTCATATTATCGGCTTACAATTTATGTGTTGAAAAAAAAATGATTCAAAAATGAAATAAAATCAATATTTGAACTTAATTTTTTGAATTTTTCTCAACTGTAAATCTGTTGAAAATTCAACTATGGTGGTCTAGATTATGGGTAACTAAAAAATTTCAAAAATCATATAAAATTTTAACAAAAACAAAATACAAAACCCAACGATTTGTTGATTGATTGTCAGAACTTTTATTATACTGAATGCATTTCGGTCGCATTACTGTGCAGCCATCATCAACGAAACACGCTGTTACACTTAAAAAAAAATTCAAAAAATTAGAAAAAACATCAAATAAGCAGTAGCGAAAAACAATGTATACGTGTGAGAAAAGCGGATTTGTTAAACAAACAAAAAAACTTAAATGTTAACATTTTTGAATTTTCACAATTGACGTTTGCATTGGCACTTCAAAACTTCAGGAGTCAGAATTTGCGATAAAAACAACATAAATGTCGTTTGTAATCCTAATGAAGAATACACGTTTAGCATTATTAAACTCGATAAAATGCAATCTTGTGTACAATCCCTCTAGCGACTTTATCCCTTTCTCCGATCGGATCGCGATAAAACTGTATCAAAATATTCGATTCCAATTGAACTTCGGTCTTGAGAATGTTGCCGGTGCAGTAGTTTGGCGGTGGTGTTTGTTTTAGTTGAATTTCATACATAAAGCCCGGTCTAACAAGTTTTGTCTTCGAAAAATTTATATATGTAAGTTCAGATTTCAAGTGAAATTTCTTATCATGAAGAATGATTTCTTCGTCAGAAGATTCCGATTCGCTAACTTGAACGATTTTTATTTCAGTCGACAAGCCGTCTATGGGAAAGTAATCATTTGACTTGTATTCACATACTTGGCTGCATACAATTTGCTGCAACACCATCGGTTGGTTCACCGAAAATACAGTCTTCTCAATATTTTTGATGTAATATGGGCTCGTTGAAAAGTTTAACGCCATAAGGCGGTCGCATACAATTTTTTCGCTTTCATTGAACTGAAATTTTTTAAATGATGTTCTCAGTGTTTGTTTGAATGCATTCGGTTCAAAGTGCGATAATGCAGTCAATTGAACAATTTCTCTGTACTCATCTGATGAGAATAAACGGCCATAGATTGAAGCAAGATAGCCAAATTGCTGTGGTTTTATTGATTTGAAGCGAATTTCGTAAATCAAATCACCAAGATACGTTTGAATGATTTCTCTTGTCAATTCTTCCAGTTCCAATCCACAAGCACTTTTTACCTAGGGGAGAATCACAAAAGAAAAGAATAGAATTAATCAAAAATAATCGACAAATAATCGAAAAAGAATCTTTAAATGAATTGCCCCTAGCTTTTTACCCATTCCATACATGCTTCAAATACATCTACTTCGGAACAAGATAGTGAATCCATTTTCAAAATATGCTCTAGCGCATCTTTGCTGCATTCCAGAAAACTGGCCGATGAAAAAACTGCTCTTGTTTTGCTGGCGATTATCAGTTCACAGAATCGTTTCAACTCGTTTTGATTGTAGAGAATGGCAAGACTGTAGCCAAAACAAATATTGTCTTCGGTAAGAATTCGATGCAGAAATTTTACACACGCATTCATACATTCGGGCACAATGTATTTGTTTCCGAGATACATGACTCTTTCGATGTTGTCCGTTGTTAATTTTGCCCGTTCCAAGTAGAAGAATTGTAAAAATTCCCTGAATTCAGCGGCCGTTGCATCAGGAATCACAACGTTCACTTTTCCTTTCCATGTATCACTGAACATCACATCGAACACATCGCTTACGCTCGCCAAAAAGGATTTGTGAACCGGAATAATTTCATCCAATCCATCGGCTGATTTGCAAATAAAGCTAAAATCGGAAAACTTCTCGTTCAAATATAGTGTTTTACCAGTTGTTAAAATACCATTGATCGCGTAATCGTACGATTTGGATGACATGATTATTGATCGAAATTTATTCACAAAACCAAATTAAATATTCTCTCTGAAATAAAAAAAAGTATATTTTTATTATCATTTTTTTTCTTCTTCTTCCTCTTCTTATTCTTCAACCTATAAAATATCTGACCTTGAATTTTGATCGACACAAGAAAATTTACTCTGACCAAAGTTAGATTTTGCTTATTTATTTAGGTCTCACTCAACAACTCTGGAAAAAATATGAAAGAAAATTTGACGTTGAGGTATATTCTCGTATATAAACTACATTATACTTGTTTTGCTTTGTGTATGTCGTTGGTGATCAATGATCCTTAAAAATTCGGTTTGATTTCATTTAACTTTAGTTTTTTCTATAAATTGTTTCGCTTGGTTGTGATCACTTATGAAGCATGACATCAAATGTAAAAATTTAAATTAAAAGATCACACAAAATGTCGCGCTTTAACAATCGAGATGTGTGGTTTAACAGGTAAGCAAATCGAATTGAACAACAAAAAACCCGCAAAAAGTAATAAAACTGTCATTTATCCAGAAAGCAGGTAGAAATGAATGGATTTGACATTTTCCGTTCATATTAGACAATAGACACTCATTCAAATTGGAATCGATTTGAATATCGTGGAATGGACATTTCAACTTCTTTCTAAATTTCGAGTTTGCCTAACCAAAGGCTTATGTCAAATACGTATCTATGTATGCGTGTATCGGTTGTTCGTGTTTTGACAGTGTCATGTAGCCGGTAGATCAGATTAGAAATGTCATGATTATTTCATCAATTGTGAAATAGGTTTTTTATAAAATTAATTTTTAAAATTAATAACAATATAAAGACATTCTTCGGCAGCCAAGCTCAGGTATTTTCAAGAATTTTTATTCAAAATTTATAATAATTTATTTTGTGTTCTTTTCCATCAGTAATTCAGAAGAACTGTTTCGTCACTCATAGGAAGAAATGAGTCAATCGCGTGATTTTAGAGAATTTATGCAACCGGTTGCTGGTTCATCGTATGGCGAAAATTCACCGAAATTATTCAAATTGAATATCGATTGTCTTGAAACAATATTCGACTATTTGTCATTGACGGATTTACATTCATTCGGTCAAACGTGTACGAGAATGCAAAAGGTGGCCGGTACATATTTCAACCAGAATTACTCAAGTGCCAATCATTCATGGTGTATCAATGGAATTCATACAAATTGGATTGCAACGTGGGCATTCAATCAATTTGTGCCAAGCATTTCTATCGACCAGTTCCATTACAACTTGGATATCAACAAATGCAATGCAATAAATCGCATTCATCTCTACGATTTACGATTAGATCAGAATAAAATTAAACGATTCAAACGAATCTTGGACCGTGTGGAAACGTTCCAATTCAATCGCTGTGCTGTTGATGACTTTTATGACTTGATATTGAAACACTGTACAAATTTAAAACGATTGTATGTTCAACGGAATACTTCAATTTACCCAGAAGAAAGTAGATACACTTGGTTGCAATACGAATATCCTACTCTTGAGCATCTGGAATTTATACCGTCATCAGATGATGCACATGTTTTTGAACTGAACATATTTTTCATGCTTAATAAAAGCGTTCAAAGATTTTCGACTAGTGAACATTTCTTATGGAACAATCGTCTAATGTTTTTAAATTTTGACGCAAAATTGGACATATTGGAAATTAAAGAAAATAATGTCTTTAATAGAAACAACAGTCCGGAAAGCGGTACATTGTTTTGGAAGTTATTAAACCAACTGTACAATCAAGGTTTTTATAAACGTCTGTATTATTGTATCGATAATGACATTGATAAGGGTCTCAGCATGGAATTGGGTGCGGTCAAAGGTCTTGAGTCATTGCAGTTTTTCACATTTATTGATGTGAGTATTTGCAATGGTTTAGCTCAACTCACCAATCTAAGGGAATTAAGGATTAAAACATCGAATAACATCGATATGGACATTTTAGCCCGTGGTCTTGTGAAACTTGAACGTCTTTGCATTGAAGGAACCATTAATGATATTATACCATTTATTCGTCGATCGACAATATTGAAGAAAATCAATTTGTTGCAGAAATGCCAAATGAATCAATTGTTTGAGAATGTAGATTGCAAAACTTTTAATTTGGTGAAATTGAACGCAGAGCGTGCCAGACTGCCGGGAGCACAAAAAGTGATCATTCATGTAAGCGAGGATCTATACTTGAAAACGAAATGGTCGGCAAGAAACGGTGACACTGACTTGAGCGTAATAGAGTTGCGACGAGCTGATTCGTATCAATGGGATCCCTATTTTTCAGTTGAACGTTCAAAAGCATTCCTGTTACAAAAAATATCCCAAAATAGTTCATTTTATGTTTTCGACTTGCAATCGTTTTAAGTCGATTGAATTTTCCAAGTAATTCCGGAAAAATTATATCATTTTTACCAAATTCAAACAATGACAAAAAAATCTCTATTTTTTTTAACAAAATACTGTATGTAAAAGATTTTAATTTTTAGTCGATATTTAGCTTAAGTTAGATATAATTGTATTCGTCGGATTTTATTTACTTTTCACATATATTTAGATTAATATTTTCAAATACAGAACGAAGAGTGTCAAAAGACGGCATTTGTCTATTCTTTCAAACAAGTTATTAGACAGTCGATACGAACACACAGATGGGTGTCAACTATCTAAATAGACAAATCAAAAGTGACATAAAATGTCATCTGTCATTCTAGTGTGTTATCAATAAATAAAATACATATCAACAGTCTCACAGGTTTTTTTTAACTTTTCCTTTATCTCATTTCACATCAAATATTTTCTGTATATTTTCCAACTTTTCAGGACAAACTGTGGATTTAGGAAAATCAAAATACTTCGATCGGACGACTAAAAATGAGCCACAAAGAGTGTAGTACAGCTACGCCGTGCAGCATTAAAGTGAATCAGTTATCTCAATTGGATCTAAGTCTGAATCAAATGTCTCTTGCCGCTCAATCTATCGAAAAACAACCATCTCCGATTGAACCATCGTTGTTACCGGCCATTTTTAGTCTTCATGTCGACTGTTTTTTCGAAATATTTGAATATTTGGGCCTGAAAGACTTGCATTCGTTCGGTAAAACATGCAAGCAAATGCACAAAGTGGCCGGTGAATATTTTATGGAAAATTACTCGGCTGTGAAAAATGTATGCGAGCTCGATAGAATCCATACATGTTTTGTGGATAAAAATGGGCGTATTAACAAATCCATTCAAACATCGAATTTTCTACAATACATGCCGATCCTTTCAATTCGTGGCCCAATCATCCATTCACTATACTACCTTTGTTCGCGCACCAAAGATTGTGTATCAACCATTCATATATGTTTTATCGATGGCCATCTATCTATTGAACACAATTTCATCAAAAACATATTCCATCCACAAATAGAAACAATTCAATCACAAAATGTCCGTATTTCAGGCGATTTTCACGAATTGGCTCTGAAGTTTTGTACGAACTTGAAGCGGTTATATTTACAACGAACATCATTTGATGACCATCACTACACATGGCTATTGAATGACTATCCAAATCTTTTGCACTTGGAAATAACACCAATAGTACCATTTCACGCCAATGGATTGAATAATTTTTTTACACGTAATGCAAATGTACAGCGTTTTTCGACTACGCCACAAATGCTATGGCATAATAAAGATACGTTTCTAAATTCAACCGCAACATTGGACACATTTGAAATTAAGGAGTTTGAGTGTTACGGAAATAACATTGAGTCGATTTGGTGCTTGTTGAATCAACTGTACAAAAAGGGGTTCTATAAGAGGGTTTTTATTTATATAAAATCCATTGACGCTCATCGCTGTACTCAATTGGCTTCGGTTGATGGTCTGGATTTACTGTGTATTCAATGGTTTTCAACGGGATTCAATTTATCGATTTTTAGCAATTTGAAAGAACTAATCATTTTGGATCGATTGTACGCTGTTGACATAGAGCATTTGGCAAGGAGTTTGGCGACATTGGAACGCCTTTATGTGAAGGATGCAAGCATTGATGATATTGTGCCATTCATTCGTCTGTCACCGACATTGAAAAAAATGAAAGTGATACCAAGAGATAGAAAGAGCTTCAACGGTGCCATGTTGGACATAGCGAAGCTAAACAAAGAACGAGCTGAGTTGACAGGAGCCAGGAAATTAACGATTTATACAAGGGACGATGTGTTTTTGACCACTAAATGGAACACCAAAGATGGCAACATCGACCAAAGCTTTCTTAAAATTAGACGAATGGATTCGTATGAATGGGAACATCATTATTGTGATACATATTTTATTGGAAAAAATTGAAATTGTTGAAGAATTTTTTTTATACTTTTGAATTTTAATTTTAGTTGAACCGAAAATTAAATTGACATTTTTTATGAACAAAAAAAAATTAAAACTTATTTGATTGGCCACACATCGCATGAAAAATGTATAAAAGAAGAAATTAATTAGCTGTCGTGACTCATAACTCGTGAGTAACGATTTCGTGCTCTGAATGCAGTTCTCAAAAAGTATAAAAGGAATGGACGGACTTCACTTTCTAATCAGATGAGAGTGTATACTTTTTTTTGCTTTGATAAACATTTTTAATATTTGTATAAAAAAATTCCACATCTTCAGAGATTCGTGCACTTTTGTAAGTAAATAATAATTCCCAAATAAGTGTAATAAGATGAACCAAAATATTTACGAAAAATCCGGAATATGTATTTAATTTTTGTGAAGTTACAAATTAAAAAAAAATCATAGCAAATTCTCATAATTTGTGATCTCAAAATACTCGTGATCCACATTAAATAATTTGGTTTCATTTACATTTACTAAATCCACATCTCAAGAGCAATAAATTTCATTCTCTATTCAGATAGTGTATTTTTCCTACCGGAGAGCGTTTAACATTATCATCAACTTTAAACATATTTGTAAGTAGTCCAGTATTATTGATAATGGTCGTTACCACTTTTTCAAAATGATTTCACTGATTATGTTCGTTAAAATAGAAAAATGAACATTGCATTTAATTATTTCGAAAGGCCATTTATGTTTTTTTTTACTAAATGGCTACAGTAAATTATGTTGTGGATTTAATTCGTTGAAATTGATTGGAATTGGTGGAATATTCGGCTTTTATTATTTAAAGTGAATGCACAAAATCAATTCTTATTAAATTTGGCTAATTTGTTAAAATCCCTAAAACATTTGTCATTGATTCTTTGTAATATCTCGTGATCGATTATATTGTTTTAAGTTTTTTTGCTGCAAAAATTCATATTCGATATCGGTATCGTAAATAAGTTTACTTATGTGATAAAAGTTGTTGGAACTCATCGTGTGCCATTAAAAATTCATTTATTGCTTGTATGAAATTATTGATACAAAGCAGTATATTGTGTACCGAGTGGGTTTCAGTTTTCAAAATTAAGAACAAAAAAGATCTCTTTTCACTTAAAACGTTAATGTTTTCATTTTTTTTCCTCACCAATATAAGAAATAAGTGATGTTGTTATTTTCGCTTCATACTAGAGTCTTTTGTTTAAAATTAAACATTAGATTAAATATCAAAGTTTTATCTATGGCTATAAAAAGTGATACATAAAACTGTAGCTGAATTCTAATATATACAAAATATAAATCAGTTTTATAGTCACATTTATTACTTGAGC